CCTGTGCACTACGCGTCCCACGTGTTGTATTGGGCGGTTTCGCAGAACGAACTCCAGGTTACGGCTGGGCCCATGGGCCTCTCTTCTTGTGACAGTGGCTCATAGGCGCGTGGCGAGGTCACAATTACTCGCCACCAGTCCAAGGCGAGGCCTCGCAGCAACGATATAGCGTACCGAATGTTCGCGTAAAAAAACACATTCATCGTGAAGATCCACGATTGAACCGTCGGACCTCCATGCTGGCTAGGATCGAAACAGGGCAGGCGCTGCGGCTTAAGCGGCATCGGCTCACCAATGTTGTTCTTGCTGACGAGAGTGGCGATGCTGACGTGACGCCGAGCTTCGCTGTGTTTGTGCCCGTCATCTCCTTGGCTCGTTTCATTACCGGCATGGATTGGGCAGCGCCAGAGCGTCGTCCCATACTGCCGTGTTGCGATGGCGTTCTTGATGATATGACGATTGGCTCCTCAGTCGGTGCAGGTGCTGGTGTTGGTGTTGGTGCATTTGCCAATGATTGCTGTCGCGCGGAGTCGCGTTCCGTTGTGAGTGTCGCGATTTCGAGCGTAGGCTCCTCGAGTTGGTGCATAAGTTCGTCGAGGCGTTCTTGCGTCAACGTCGCGAGCTGAATGCAGTCAAATTCGGCCATGGCGGGGGTGTCGGGCTAGCTCTCGTGGCTGAGTGTGCACACGAGCAGCGGTGCTTGGTCGCTGAGGGACATCTACCCCCTCCAAAATCTGAGATAATGTGGGAAGCGAAGGTGCGAAAACAAACGTGGCCCTGGACACCAAATGTTATGAGGGCAATTGAGCGAGCAAACAAAGATTGCACTATCGAAGCAAAACAGTGTTGAGATTAGCTAGGAAGGAATGAGGATTAGGTAAGAGGGAGGGGGTACAAGAAGTGTCGAGCAATTTACTGTACCCCCTAAGGCTAAACCCACTACAGCCTAGATAACAGTAAACATATAATTTGACACACCCACATAGGCGAAGTGGGAGATAGCAAACACAAGAAGAGGTCACAAGACCAGTCAAGAGAAGAAACAAAGCAAAACAAGTGTCAGAATGTTGTATTTGTCTAGCCTGCAGTGGGGTACTCTATAGTGAGTACAGCCCAATCTAGGGTTTCCTATATGTACTCAACTGCTTGCTAGTGCAACCTCTTCTTTCTGCTTCTAAACTTTTCCTCATACTTGTGACAACAAGCTCAGGGTGGATCTCAAGATCACCATGCATTCTAAGCACTAGAAAGCGGCCACAAGGCCAGTTCACGTGCAGGTTTATAATAGAGCAAGCAGTACAATGATTACAACCTAACAACCAGAAACATGCAGGTTTATATATCAAAGTACAAGACAAGATCAAGAGACAAGCAGTGTTGGCTCGTGTGGCCACGTACAAAGGCGAAGCTGGGAACGCTGCAGCAACACTCGCACGGCAAAGGAACGAAGTGCAAAGTGCTACATTCTGCTCGCTAGTCTGACCAGGTAGCGCAACACCCTCCTAGCAGCTCGCCAGTGCGCAGGATGGTACACCAGCTCGAACTGCGTGTCCTCAATGACGTCACAGCCAAGGGCAAACTCACCCCCAACGAACGGAGGACACGAAGAGACAGAGACGAGACCAGAAAGGTAGGTACGACGACAAGTAGCGGCAAAACCAGTGAGATCAGCTACTAAGGCAGAAGCAGCAGCAGTCGAAGAAGCAGGTGCAGTCACAAGCGCGGCTATACTACGAGGGACAGTCGGGCTGGCAACACGAGCAAGGTCAGACACAGGGTCAGGAACAGGAGGAAGAGAAGACGGGGGAGGTAACGGCAGGACAACAGACTCCCGAGTAACACGAGAGGGAGCAGGGAAGGCGGCACAAGACACAGGCTCCCGACGCCCAGTCAGGAAGACGGACAATGGGACGTATCGAACAGGAGCAGGCAGTGGGGAGACAGGCGGCGGAAACAACAGAGGAGTAGTACAAGTGGGCGTCGGCTCAGGTAGCCACGACGACGGCTGCTCAAAGAAGATAGACTGCCGTGGCAGCGACTGCAACGCACCCCCAGACCCAGCACCTCTAGCGCCAGTACCTCCAACTCCACCAACAAGAGGACTCCTAGCACCCCCAGAGGCAGCACCCCCAGAACTAGCACCCCCAGAACCAAAACCCTCAGCGTCACCACCCCCAACAACACCTGGGCCCCCGAAGTCCGCAGCGACAAGCTGGAGAGGAGGCGAAGACGTCCGGGGCGGAAAACCCGGAGGTGTCTCCAAGCGCGGTGAGCGGCGAGAGGTCGCTGTGTCGGCAGCAGTAGGGTCATCCCCCTCGGTCGAGCCAGAGGAGGCAGAGGGGACTACGAGACACGGGAGAACAGTGGAGGGGTGCGCATAGACTGTGCTAGTAGGCGCACAAGCAGCGACACACAAAGGCTCTAACTCCTGGTGCCCGCCCCCGCCACTCCCGCCAGCTCCACTACGACCCTCATTAGCTACAGTGGTGAGGTCTGACAGCGCAGGGAAGGTAAGAGGCAGCACAAGACAGCCTAGGAGTGCAGGAGGGGGGGGGGAGTAGCGCCTAACCACAGTGGAATACAAAACATGGGCCGACGACACCTGACTCCTGGGGAAGAAGGCTCGCTGGTCGAACGAGAGGTGAAGGCGGACTGCAAGTGAAGCGGCTGCGTCTCGCGCCATCCACCGGTTGTAGGCAAGGTGAGCTGCGCCGAACTGCGTCCGCTCCTCCTCCTCAGCGTCAGCAGTAGGTTCAGCAGGAGCCTCTGGGGCCGGAAGGGACCCCGACGTGTGCTCGAACAGGGAGACGTTGTCCCGTTTAACACTCCAGAGGTACAGGTGCAGCCCCTCTAGCCAGGAGTCAAACCCTAAAGGTTGCCCCACTGCGTCAAAGGCTAGAACAGTGGGAGTCGCCATAGCAGCACGAACGGCAGCAAGCAGCAGGAGTGGCAGTTACGGCAGCAGTGGCAGCACAGGTGGCAGCAGCAGTGCATGCGGCAGCAGCAGCCTAGCAGAAGCAGCAGCAGCTGAGCAGTAGTAGCAGCGCAGCAGTAGCAGCAGCGCAGCAGCAGCAGCACAGGTGGTAGCAGCAGCACAGGCGGCAGCAGCAGCCTAGCAGCAGCAGCAGCTGAGCAGTAGGAGCAGCGCAGCAGTAGCAGCACAGGTGGCAGCAGCAGCCTAGTAGCAGCAGCAGCGGCACGAGTGCAGGGGGCAGGGCAGCACTAACGCACGGAGCAACTCGGCTCAGCAGGGCGGCTCGAGCAGCAGCAGCAGGTTAGCAGCAGTGCAGCAGCAAAGGCACGGCAGCCGCGCGTGCAGGGCAGGGCAGCCGCGCGTGCAGAGCAACAGCGCAGCGCAGGGCAATAGAAGCAGTGCAGCAGCAGCAGCAGCGCAGGCGGCAGCAGTAGCTTAACAGCAGCAGCAGCGCAGGCGGCAGCAGCAGCTTAACAGGAGCAGCAGCAGCTTAACAGCAGCAGCAGCGCAGGCGGCAGCAGCAACTTAATAGCAGCAGCAGCGGCAAGGAGGAGCAGCTGCAGCAAGTAGCAGCAGGAGCAGCAGTAGCAGCAGCAGTAGCAGCAGCGCACGGGGCAGCAACAGCTTAGGCGGCAGCAGCAGCAGCTGAGCAGTAGGAGCAGCGCAGCAGTAGCAGCAGCGCAGCAGCCCACAGAAGGGCAGGGCACGCTCGAGGCAAGCGGCAGCAGTAGCTTAGCAGCAGCTGCAGCGCAGCACAGCAGCAGCAGCAGCAGCGCAGGCGGCAGCAGGAGCTTAACAGCAGCAGCAGCGCAGGCGGCAGCAGCAGCTTAACAGCAGCAGCAGCAGCAGCTGAGCAGTAGCAGCAGCGCAGCAGTAGCAGCAGTCGGCGCACAGCAGCAGTAGGCACGCGCGGGCTGTGGGCTAGCAAACCAGGGGCGCGCAACAGGTGCGCGCAGAGCAGCTTAAAACGGGCGCGCAGCAGGTGCGCGCTAGGGGCTGGCGGGCAGCGTGAGTGGCGCGCGCAGCAGCAGGAACGAGGGGGGACTGGGCGTAGGGGCTGATGGGCCGCACGAGTGGCGCACGGGGCAGCTAGGGCGCGGTCAGGAGGGGTCGCACGTGACTAGGCAGAGGAATCGTGCCTAGGGCAGCTAGGGGACGGGACGCTCCTAAGGCAGAAAAACGTCTCGCCTAGGGCGCGTTTCGCATTTCGCGTTTCTCCTAGGGGCGTGACTCGGGCAGCAGATCGAAATTGGAGTGGTGGGCCCGTTTAAAAATTCGGTCCTAAGGACCATTTCGCTCTAAATACCATGTTGAGATTAGCTACGAAGGAATGAGGATTAGGTAAGAGGGAGGGGGTACAAGAAGTGTCGAGCAATTTACTGTACCCCCTAAGGCTAAACCCACTACAGCCTAGATAACAGTAAACATATAATTTGACAAACAGTACATCGAGCGAAGGAATGAGTGAATGTTATATAGCTAGCTAGCAAGGTAACGGTAATGGAATTGTCGAGGTGGAGGACTGGAGCCCAGGTTACCATCAAAGCCGTGAGGTTGGGTCGCAATGTGAACAGTGACGGGAACAGTGGTCGAGACGAGTGTCGCGAGTGGTGACAGTACACTGTTGGCGGGAACTGTTGTGTACACGATAAGCAGGGGTGCGAAGTAAGGAAAATGATTTCTCCTTCACACATTGTCATGTACCGGTATAACATTTTCTCAATTGCCATTACAGTCAAGCGAAGCAGACATTGCTGAGCAAGCACGTTCTGCTGGACCAAACACTCTGCAAAAAATAAAGGAAAACCAAAATGCATCCCCTTGGCCGTCTTCACGGTTCCATGCCCCCCCCTGCCAGTCCTAACTTGTCTCCTCGAGCCCCTAGTCTAATCACCTAATGCCCTTTAACGGTATCTAGTGTATGATGTATGGCAGGGGCAACTTGTCCCCTGCTATCCCATGGGGATGCGGGTGTGTATGTGTGGTAACCAACCACAAGTAGCCTGTGGTGTCTGTATACTCGAGGTTAAGGGGAGAGGAGGGTGATGGCGATGCTGACAGCCACTAATAAACCTGTCGTCCACGTCATCGCGCTGGCGAACACCAAGGGGTCCACACGCAGCCACGTAGGCACTGCTTGCACAGGTGGCTCGAGCACCACCTTCTGACCTGGACCAATCAGAGCCACAGGATCTGCTCCGGTTGTTCGGCTAGCTGCCTGCCGTTGTGTTGTTGTTCCTGCTGTCCCTCTATTCCGATCCACCTCTACAGCCACGGCTGGTGCAGCAGCATTTGCAGTGGCAGTGGTAGTGTTGGCGGCGGTGGTGGTGGTGGTGGGAGTGGCAGTTGCGGTTGCAGCAGCGGCAGCAGCTGCAGCAGCAGCAGCAGCAGTGAGAGGTTCTGTCTCGCTCCCTCCCTCTTCACTCACACTCCCACTGTCACTCTCTGAATCCACCACCACGCGAGCCCCCTCTACAATCACATCCCCCCCCCGCCCCACCTCCCCTCCTGCACCATCCGGCATCTGCTTATAAGCACCGGCCCCTTCCATATCACTCTCCATAACTCCCCCTCCTCCTTCAGACGAACTTGGTGAGTGCTTGGGAGAGAGTGCCGCAATCACATTCTGAATCAGCCCCACGAGGCTCCGATCAGCGCTGGAGGAGCTTCGGAGTGGTGTGGAGGCAGGGGGAGTGGTGGAGAGGGGTGTGGAGGAGGGAGGGGAGGAGGAGACGAGGAGGTAGCCCCGGGATTCGAGCTCTTCGGGGGTGGGGTAGGTGATGAGAGCGGCCCGGAAGAGGAGAGTTGGGACGACGAGGTTGATGAAGCCCTGGCAGATGATGGCCACCCAGTTGCAGAACTGGACCAGCACCTGAAAGGGAGGGGGGAGGAAGGGAAGTGGGAGCGAGAGAGAGGGAATGGAGGAAGGGAGTGTGTGTAAGGCAAGTGAGGGATGGTTGGCATGGGATAGTGGCTGACTGGTAGCCCTGGCTGGGAGGCTCTTCAGGGGTGGGGTAGGTGATGAGGGCGGCCCGGAAGAGGAGTGTTGGGACGACGAGATTGATGAATCCCTGGCATATGATGGCCACCCAGTTGCAGAACTGCACTAGCACCTGCAGGGCGATCAGAGGGATGCAGAGGAGTGCAGAGGGGTGCAGGGTTAGTGGGCGCTTGGACGAGGTTGTTGAAGCCCTGGCAGATGATGGCCACCCAGTTGCAGAACTGCACGAGCACCTGAAGGGATGCAGAGGGGTGCAGGGGGATGCAGAGGGGTGCACACGGAGGTTAGTGGGTGCGACGACGAGGTTTATGAAGCCCTGGCAGACGATGGCCACCCAGTTGCAGAACTGCACGAGCACCTGCAGAGGGATGCAGAGAGGTGCTGAGGGGTGTAGATGGAGTGCATGCGGAGGAGGGATGGTGGGCAAGGGTTAGTGGGTGGGTTGATGAAGCCCTGGCAGATGATGGCGACCCAGTTGCAGAACTGCACGAGCACCTGAATGGGAGGGGTGCAGGGGGATGCAGAGGGGTGCACACGGAGGTTAGTGGGTGCTTGGACGAGGTTGATGAAGCCCTGACATATTATGGCCACCCAGTTGCAGAACTGCACGAGCACCTGAATGGGAGGGAGAGGGGGGGAAGATTGCGAGGGCGAGGGCGAAAGAGGTTGGACGGACGGGGGACGGGGGACATTGGGTAGCGAGGGGTAGACAAGTGTATGAAGATTTGTTTTGAGACGTCTCAAAACTTCTTTTCTACCTGCACTGCTACCTCCCACCCGTGTTTTGAATCTTCATACACGTGACGGGGAACATTGGGTAGCGAGGGTCAACGCCCTGGTAGACCATGGCCACCCAGTTGCAAAACTGCACCCACACACTAACTCACCTCAGCCTGGCAGCACAAGGCGGTGAGCATGCAGCGCGCTACAACCGCCCAGGAGAAGGCGGCCGAGCCATATGTCTCACCTCAGGATTCAAGCTCCAAACACACACATATGTCTCACCTCAGCCTGGCAGCAGAAGGTGGTGAGCATGCAGCGCGCTACAACCGCCCAGGAGAAGGCGGCCGAGCCATATGTCTCACCTCAGGATTCAAGCTCCAAACACACACATATGTCTCACCTCAGCCTGGCAGCAGAAGGTGGTGAGCATGCAGCGCGCTACAACCGCCCAGGAGAAGGCGGCCGGGTCTGAGAAAACGTTTGAGGCGCAGGTTTTAGGGTTTAGAGTTGGGGCCTCACCTGAGCTTGGTTGAAGAATGCAGTGAGTAACCATGGCAGCACAATCGCCCAGAAGAAGGCGGTAGAGTCGGAAAAGAGGCCTGAGGCCTGCAGGTTGAAGGCTGCCTGTAGCACACACTATAGAGGTGCACTAGAGCTGTGCAGAGGTAACATTACCCCTAGAAGAGTCTCACCTGAGCTTGGTAGAAGAATGCAGTGAGCAACCAGGGCGCTACAACCGCCCAGAAGAAGGCAGCCGAATCAGAGAAGAGGCCTGAAGCCTGCAGGTTGTGGGCTGTAGGACGCTAAGAGGGGCAGGGTTTAAGGTTTAGAGTCTAGGGTTGGGATCTCACCTGAGCTTGGTAGAAGAAGGCAGTGAGTAGCCAGGGCGCTACAACCGCCCAGAAGAAGGCGGCAGAGTCGGAGAAGAGACCCGAGGCCTGCAGGTTGTAGCGCACCATGATGGCCAGGATGGGAATTCCCGGGATGTAGCCGAAGAAGCCCCACATGTACACTGAAAATTCAGTAGCTGGGGCCACCTGTAGGGTGGAGAGAACAGGGGAAGAGAGGGGCAGGGGAAAACAGGGAGAGGGGAGGGGGGGAGAGAAATCGGAGAGGAGGCCAGGAGAAGAGAACAGAGGGAGAGGAGGAAAGGGGGGGGGGAATGGTAAGAGGGGGTTGGTGAGGCCTGCAGGTTGTAGCGGACCATGATGGCCAGGATGGGGATTCCCGGGATGAAGCTGAAGAATCCCCACATGTACACTGAGAACTCTGTAGCTGGAGACACCTGTAGCGTGAGATAGAGGGATGGGAAGGGGTGCTGGTGGGTTTTGAGAGTGGGGATGGGGATGCCCGTATGCAGATGGGGATGGGGATGCCCGTATGGTGAAACAGTGCAAGGCCGAGCATCTCACATGGAGATGGCCGCATGCAGTGGCGGCATCTGCCTGCCCATCCAGCATGTTGAGCATGTTGTCTGTTCCCTTGAGCGTAACATCGTTACCCTTCCTTCCGCTATGGGATGAGAGAAGTATCTCACATGTGGATGGCCGCATGCAGTGGCAGCATCTGCCTGCCCGTCCAGCATGTTCAGCATGCTGTCTGTGCCGTTAAACGGGTGGCCTGAGGAGGCTATATTACAGGCGCCACCCCCTCCAGCATGTTGAGGGGTGTTGGTGATACAGTGAAAGGCACGCTTCTCACCAGGGAGAAGATTAAGACTAGATACCTGTTAAGGACGAGTCACCTGTTGGATCCAGGGACTACTCAACAGAATCTCACATGTGGATGGCCGCATGCAGTGGCGGCATCGGCCTGGCCGTCCAGCATGTTGAGCATGTTGTCCGTGCCCTTGAACGGGTGCTCCTCGTTCGCTAAGAGTGGGAACCCTTGGGACTATGTGAGTGATAAAGCACAGTGCAAGGCGAGCATCTCACATGGGGATGGCCGCATGCGGTGGCGGCATCGGCCTGGCCGTCCAGCATGTTCAGCATGTTGTCCGTGCCCTTGAACGGGTGGCCTGCGTCGTCCACTAGCTTGTACGCCCACGCTCCTAGCAGCCCTGCAGGGTACAATACAGGGCGTTGTATTGGGCCATAAAGGGCATGCTGAGCGTATCTTAGACATGGGCATGGGCAATATTATGGGATTCTCGGTGACATGGTGAATGCGTGCCTTTAAAGTACTGCAGCAGCAGGCACGTCGGCCTTATTGGCTCTTGGGTGGATTAACCACAGGCAGTCCTGAATCAGCGATTGGTATTCTGAAATAAACCTTGGACTTACTGGAATATTGTAACTGTGTACCATTGTACCATTGAACCGTATTGTTATAAAACAGAAGAATAGTGCGTGGCTTACCTAGTAGGATGTTGAGGGCGCAACCGACAGAAGCAGGCAGCCAGATGGCTCGGTTGACGTTGACACCTGGCTTCTTCTCATTGGCCCACGAGGGGATGGTGCTGACGTACGAGTATGCAAAGACACACACTCCTAGGACCTGGTTAAGCGAAAAAAAGGGATGGGGAGGACAGAAGAGCAGTTGAATCAACTAAAAAATGGTGCTGACGTACGATTATGCATACACACACACTCCTAGAACCTGGTTAGTGGGAAAGAATGAGAGACCAAGGACGGGGGAGGGAAGGGGAAGAAGGGGAAGGGAAGCAGATGGGGGGTGGAAATGAGATCTGCAATATAAATTGGGGGACCACGGGACGAGGTTGGAGAGGAACAGCGGGGCAGACTGAAAGGAGAACAGCAGCTGGAGCAACCCTTTACCGGTCTTGCAACGAGTACAACCCTCACCTGGCTTATATCGAGTCCCAAAAAGGGTGTTCGCCCAGGGCCATTGCCAGCGCAGTAGTTGGGTGAGCCGGGGAGGAGGTCGGAGAGGAACTGGGCGGCAAACTCAAAGGAGAAGAGCAGCTGGGCGAGCAAGGAGCAACCCCTTACCGGGCTTTACATCGAGTACAATGCTCACCTGGCTTATATCGAGTCCGAGAAAGGGTGTTCTCCCGGGGCCGTTGCCAGCGCAGTAGTTGGGGGACCCGGGGAGGAGGTTGGAGAGGAACTGGGCGGCAAACTCAAAGGAGAAGAGCAGCTGAGCGAGCATTGAGAGCCACTGGAAGCCCATGTTGTCGTCGAGGTTGAGGCGGGCGAATGGGATGCAGACCGCCATTGCAAGGACGAAGCTGCGAGGAGAGGGCACCCGGCACACAGAAGGGGGAGAGGGATGGGGAGGGGAGAGCGGGAGATGAGAAGGGCAGGTGGGCGAGCATAGAGAGCCACTGGAAGCCCATGTTATTGCAGAGATTGAGGCGAGCACATGGGATGCAGACCGTCATCGCTGCGGGATTGGGAACACACGTGAGGAGGGAAGAAGGGGAGATGAGAGCACTGAGAGGCAGTGGAAGCCCATGTTATTGCAGAGATTGAGGCGTGCACATGGGATGCAGACCGTCATCGCTGCGGGATTGGGAACACACGTGAGGAGGGAAGAAGGGGAGATGAGGGCACTGAGAGGCAGTGGAAGCCCATGTTATTGCAGAGATTGAGGCGTGCACATGGGATGCAGACCGTCATCGCTGCGAGATTGGGAACACACGTGAGGAGGGAAGAAGGGGAGATGAGAGCACTGAGAGGCAGTGGAAGCCCATGTTATTGCAGAGATTGAGGCGAGCACATGGGATGCAGACCGTCATTGCCAGGACGAAGCTGAGAGGGAGAGAGGAGATGGGGAGACAGGTGGAGGGAGAGGAAGGAACGGGGACAGAGAAATATTCTATTAGAAGCCGCAGACCCTGGTGTGATACTAGCAGGTGGGCGAGCATGCAAGGGAAGGGGATACCGACTGGCACTGCCAGGTCGCAGCTGGGCTCTCGAACAGAGGGAAAGGAGGGAGGAATACGTGTATCTAGAAGCGCGGGTGACTGGTGTAAGTGCCGGCCCCTACACGAGGCCAGGGGAGGAGTGGAGGAGTGGGGGTTGATGCTGAATGCAATGCAAGGACCTTGTCCGGGTTCGTGCTGCTAGGCTAAACCCTGAACCTCTTCTTGAGGCGCCTCAAAAATCGTGCTGTTAGGCTAAACCCTGAACCTCAAGCCCGAAACCCACTGTCCCCACTGACCTGATGCAGGACAGCACAATCAACACTGGTCCAGGGATTCGCATCCTCCCATTTCTGATTCGGACTCTCCCTCTTATTGACTGGTTGGGGAGCTGGGTTCAGGGTTTCCCTCTCCCATCCCCAAGTCAAATTTTGAGGCGCCTCAAAACTAGACTAGTGTTAACTAGTCCTCCCCTTTCTGATTCCGACTCTCCCTCTTATTGAATGGTTGGGGAGCTGGGTTCAGGGTTTCCCTCTCCCTTCCTCAAGTCAACCCCTCTTTTCTCTACCTCTCTCTGGCTCCATAGCTTGCTTGCACCCGCTCTACCCATCACCTCACTCTCACTCACTCACATCCTCACTCACTCACCCCAGGGAGATCACTGATCGGTTGCAGTACCGCTGCTGGTCGTCCCCCACGCGCACACACCTCCAAGCCCCACCCTCTCCCTCCTCCCAAACCTCCCAACACCCTACTCCCCCTTTCACTCACCCCAGGGAGATCACGGATCGGTTGCAGTCACCACTGCTGGTTGTCCCCCAAGCGCACACATTCCCTCCCGCCCCTCCTGTTGCAAGGGATTCGATAAAAGCGGGCGGCCACTGGCTGTAGTCCATGCCAAACGACGTGCCGGCTAGTCGGTATACCACCGAGTCTAGGACCTGCATGTGTGTGCGTGTGGGTGTGGGTGTGGGTGGGTGTGGGTGGGTGTGGGTGTGGAGGTGGGGTGAGGAAGGGTGATTGGCCACTGGCTGTAGTCCATGCCAAACGACGTGCCGGCTAGTCGGTATCCCACCGAGTCTAGGACCTGTATTGTAGGTGTGAGATGTGGGTTAAGATGGGGGGCACGGAGGTGAGGGGAGGAAGGTGGGTGCAAGTGTTGACAACTCAAATGCAGGCTGCCACTGCCCATAGTCCATGCCAAGTGTTGAAGAGAGCGGGGAGATGGGGGGAGCGTGGGAGAGGAGAAAGTTGTAGCAGCTCATTGACAGCCCTGCTTTTTCTAAATGAACTCACATGCTGTGCCAGTCGGAGCCCGTCTCATATGTGCCAGAATGTATTTATGTTTAATCGCATCACTAGAATGCGTTTTTTGCTTTCTTCTATTATTTCATCCTTTCCTTTTTCACTGTACCTGCGATGTAACAATCATGGACGCGATATTCGACGCGAGCAGCCCCGCGTTGAACCCAATCTGCGCGAGCGCGTACCACCGGTCGCCGAAATAATGCCGCACGAGCGTGCAGTACTCAAACCGCCTCGCGAAACCCTTGTTACCGGGAATTCGCTGCTGCGCCTCGCACATCATCGTCGCCGCGAACGAAGAAAACAGCCACATGAGCGTGAGCCCGGCGGTTGGTAAAAACCATCCCGCTTGTGCGTATAGCAACGGGAGAACCACGACCGCTGGCCCCGTGATATTATTGAAGTTAAGAACGCAAGATCTGACGGTGTGGATGGGTGGGAGTGGGTGGGAGTGGAATGGGACTGGGTATAAGGGGTAACAGCAGCAGTAAAACGTACAGAATCGAGCACGCATGTTTCTAGGATGCAGAGCAGGTAGGATGGAGGGGGAAAAAAACCATCTTCCTCGCGTTCTCTTTCCTTGCCCTATCGTTCCTCCCCTTCCCCTCCTCCCCCTTACCCCTTTTCCCCCTCCCCTTCCTCTCTTCCTGTCCCGATCCGATTTAGAGTTGGCACATAGCGACTGCGAAGGGAATTTCACGCCCTAAACGAATCGAATCCACGGACGTGGAGAGAAAGGGAGCGTTGGGTGGGGGATGGGGTTACGACCGAATCTGTGCTGATGGTGCAGGTGCTGCTCGCGCCCTTAATTCCGGAAACAGAGGCCCCTCGTCTCACCCTCAAACCATCCGCTCACCCCAACTCGTCTACTCACCCCAACTCGTCTACTCACCCCACCTCGTCCGCTAACCCCCAAGAGACAGAGACAAGTCAAACCCAACCCGTTCATCCACTCACCCCAACTCATCCATCAACCCATCCATCTGCTCACCCCCAGAACGTGATGGTTTTATCGCCGAAGCCGTGATGGTGGTGGTGCAGGTGCTGCTCGTGCCCGCCCTGCAGGTTACACTCGCTCCGCTCGCGCGGCAGCAGCGCCTCTGCGCGCGCTGCCGCCATGTCGGGGGAAGCTCTGGGAGGGTGGCAACGGGGGACGGGCGGGTGGGGAAGCGGAGTGAAGGGGGGAAGAAGGAGGGGAAGGGAGGAAATGGAGTGGGAAGCGGAAGGAGGGGGGTGGAACGGAGAGGGGGGAGGAAGAGGGGAGGAGGAGAGGGAGCAATGGATTGACCGATTTCCATTGCTCGCGGCGGCTGCCATGCCAGAGGAAGCTCTGGTGGAAGGGAGGAGGAGACAAGCGCGACAATCCAGGGAAAACAGGCAACGGTAAGCGGGTCCGACGACTCGATTCGCTCCGCTCGCGCGGTATCACCGCTCTGCGCGGACTATTGTTATGTCCTTCTCGGGGGGGGGGGGGGGGGGGGGGGGGGGGGGTGCTCGGAAGAATGGGAAGAGGAAATTGGAAAGAGTTGCGCAATCGGGCAACGGGGCGGAGGGGAAAGATGGGACGCGGGTTCGGTGAGGGGAGGGGAGAGGAGTGTCAAACGGAGTGTGGGAAAACTGAAGGAAATCGGAGGGGAGACGAGGAGCCGACGTATGAGCTGCGAGAAGCGATTTTTTCTGATGGAGCCGGGACGCTGATAGTTTCGCTGTGCGCTATTCGTTACTGATTCTCTCGTGGATGTTGTATAGGCCGATTCTGGCAAGCCGATGATGTTGAAGCTTGGCTAGTGGGGATATGCTAGTTCCGGAGCTCTCGTCTAGCGAACACGCTGAGGGGAAGCGTAATTCGCCACGTGGAGAATTTACCGTTGTGAGAGGAGTGGTCAGAGTGGTAAGGAGGGGTCACCTGTATCCATAATCCGAGCGGAATGTCCCTTTCCTCGCGAGGCCGTCTTTCATGTTCGCCATGCTCGCTGACTTGGGATCCTCCGAACTTTCCTGCTCAGTATCGCCGGCGCTGGACGAAGCTGTAACTGTTACTGCGCGAGATCGGCGACGAGCAAGTGCTTGAGAATCGGCGGGCCTACTGGCGAGTGCTATGGATGCGGGACCTATACTGCCGATCTTTAGGCTACTGCGAAGAAGTGAAATCGGTGTGACAAGTAACTTTCGTATATTGGAGAAAGACGCGACTACTTGGGCCATGAAAGCTGCATTGCCATCTTATCTCAAGCTTGATTCGTGAGTGAACGGCTTCAGAAGGTCAGGGACATGTGTCGTTTCTACCAGATTACCGAACCAGGATGACAGCTGGGGAGAGGCGAAGGGAAAAGCTAAGGGGAGTGTAGGAGAAAGTATGGGCCAGAACGCCAAAGACAACGGAACTTCATGGTGTAGGAATGTGGGGAACAGATTAGCGAAACGGTTTGCGACTTCTTCGAAACTGGATATGAGTAGTTCGCTCATCACGAAAGGTTATGCGAAAATTGTGGACTCGTTTCCGTAGTTTGGGGGATCAGGCAAGGACGACCGCGGCGTGTCTGGCATGGTTCAGGTGGAAGGCTGGTTGGCGGGCTGCCTTGGCTCGGATGTTTGGCAGGATGCAAGACAAGGCGGCTCGGAATTGCCGTAGTCGTTACGTTCTGATGACTGCTGGCCGACTGGTTACCAGCTGTAACAATATTGTGGGGCAAGGGAAAATCTTATTGGTGAACGTGTCAAGGTTGGGCGTTGCTCAGTGGTGGAACGAGCTTGGTCATCGAAAGCTGGTGGACTCGGTCTGCGTTGGCATCGAATGACTCGTCTTCGTCGTCGAGGTCTGCTTTGTGGGGACACACTACCTCGTGGTACTGGGATGCCCGAACTTCCCGCGTTTTTGGAGGAAAACAGCGGTGGTGGCAACCAAACGGCCACATCAAGAACGAAACTCGGCTCATCTGATCCGAACCCAGAGGTTCTCCGTCCCCCATCGACCCGCGCCGTTCATTCAGGAGCCCAAAGCTGCGTCAGAACGAGGGAGGTATGTGTCGTCCTCTGACCCGACCGAGCCGCGTAGGGCTTCCGGCTGAGGCTAGGTGTTTCAAGATTCATCGTAGCTGGACACACCTCACTCTTGTCAATCTGATGCTGTGTACTGTTTAGTGCTCGCTAGGGTATGGCTCGTTTCCCGCCGATGAAACAGTGTTTGTGTCGTTGACCTAAATCCAGGGTGAAGTTTCTGCATGCTGCTGAGATTGACGGGTATATTTAAGGTGAAGCCCTGGCTGTTTTAAAAGCCATGATTTACGGTATGTTTTATAGGAGATTGTTTTCGCATAACGTGTACAGGACTTGTCTTACCGTCTTCACCTTATCACAAAAATCAATTTGCATGCAGCTCAAGAGTCATATATAAATAGACAGTAACCAAGATGTTCAAGGTCCAAGTCTAGGTCCAAAAGAGACTGACACCAGAAACCAGTTCGTTTGTCTAAACAAAGTCATTAATCTCTACACCAAACCCCTACCGTTTATCTACAAGTTAAAAGCCCTACAAGTTACACAGTCACTAACCTGTTCCCCCACCATCCCCACACAAGCCTACAAAGGTTCCATACTCCAGTATATCTCAACGTTTCGCTTCCTTTCCTTCACAAGAACCAAAACACACCCCAAATCTCATCCCTTATCTGTCTTCACAAAATGCTGTCAGCGTCATTCGTACCCACACTCCCTTTCTATCCCCGTTATTGCCTTTCACTTCCTTGCATTCTCCCGCTCTCAACCCCTGCATTTTGCCTCAAGCTCTTCTATCCCCGTTATTGCCTTTCACTTCCTTGCATTCTCCCACTCTCAACCCCCGCAACTTGCCTCCCTGCCGGAACCATCATGGGGGGAGGTATGAGCCTCCAAGCACGCGCGCCCCATTCTCTTCTATCCTCGATATTGACCTCTCCACTACCTGAATCAACCCCATGAGCATCTCCTCTGGATTCTTGCCTAGATAGGTTCTCACTGGCACCCAATGGCAACAATGCCATACCATCAGTTTCCACCACACCCTCCCCTGCTGCTGCTGCTGTTCCTGATGCTCCTCCTGCTGGTTCTGCACCTGTTGCTTCTGGTGCTGCGACAGCCTCTGCTGCTACTGCTGCTGCCCCTGCTTCTCCTCTTGCTGGGGCAAATTCCCTTTGTGCTGCGGGCTCTACTGCTGCTCTCCTTTCACTTGCACCTTCCTCCACTCCCTCTCCCCTTGTGCCTCGACTCTGAGCCTCAACCAATACCCCTTTACCCTCGTCTCCCTCTCCTTTCTTTCCTCCCTCTCCTCCTCTGCTCTTCCTTGCTCTTGACTCTTCATCCACCCTCCCCGTCTTGTGCTGGCTGCTGCTACTGCTGCCGCCTCTGCAGCAGCTGCTGCCACCACTACTGTTCCTGCGAATCAAACACAGCAAGCCACACTGAGGGCCGCTGTTACCACCACCGCTGCTACTCCTGCTTCTGCTGCTGTTGCTGCTGCAATCACTTACTCCTCCGGGAGACATACTACCTGAAACACCTCTATACTTGGCTTCCTCTTCCAAAACACCTGAAGAAGCACCTGAAGCACCACCTGAATCACCCGCCTTCCCCTCGCCCATCGTCTCTCCTCCATCTCCATTCTCCTCCTCATCCTCATCCCCATCAGCAGCACCATCAGCAGCACCATCAGCACCAGCAGCATTGGCTGCAGCAGTGGCCGAAGTGGCACTTGGGATTGCAAGAGAAACAGAAGCAGAGGCAGCAGAGGAAGCACGTGCAGCACCAGCACTGAACGGACTATCCGTAGCAGAGGGGGGACTCATTATTCCCTTGAGAAGACGCGGAGTCTGCTTTTGAGTCGACTCAAAAGCAGGAGCAGGCGGGGAGGAAGCATGGCAAGCAGCAACACTGAATGGAGGACTATCCGTAGCAGAGGGGGGGCTCTGAAGGCCTTTGAGAAGAAGCGGAGTGCTGCAAGCAGTGCTCAAGCGATGAGGAGGGGGTGTGTGGCCGGCAAAAGCATGCGGAGGAGTTTCCTGAGATGGGCTGCTCACACCCCTGAGGAGAGGAGGGGTGCTGCAGGCATTTGTGCCCAACCCATGCGGGGGAGGGGGGGTGTGACCAGCACCAAAGTGGCTGGGAGGGGGAGTGTGACCAGCGAATGAGGTGTTTTCAACCGGCGGGGTGCTGCTGCAAGAAGGGGTGAAGGAGTGGGGAGGAGTGTCGTGCGGTGGGGTGAAGACTCCCCGGAGGAGAAGCGGGGTGCTATCGGCAGCAAAGCAGCTAGGAGGAGGGGTGTGGCCGGCGAATGAGGTGTTTTGAAGCGGAGTGGCGCTGCTGCTGGGGGGAAGGCTGGGTGGAGAGCTGTGGGCGCTGGGAGGGTGGGTGGGTGGGCTGCTGCTGCCAGGTAGGTTGATGTTGGGAGAGGTGGGGGAGGTTTGTGAGGGATGCAGAGTGGTATGAGGGGATGCGGGATTTTTGGTAGGAGAGAGGGGAAGGGGAGGGGACGAGGGATTCTTGGAGTGGGAGGTAGCTGGTGGTTGCACCACTACTGTTGAGTTGGAAGACGGATGGAGAGCAATAGATTGATGCTCTATGGCGGAATGTGTTGAGTGAATCTCTGCAGAAGAGTGGAGAGTAACTGAAGACTGAAGCTCCACGGAAGAAGCAAGGCTGGGTTGAGTCTCAGCAGTAGCAGTGGCGGCGGTGTTGGTGTTGGTGCTGGTGTTGATGCTGGTGCTAGGCTGGTTTGGTCGCAAGGAACCGGATTTGGAGAACTGAGACGCGTGGGTTGAGTCGCTTCGAGGCGTGTGGGAAGCGTGGGAAGAGTCGACCCGGGGTGTGTTCGATTCTCCAGTCGGGTTGAGAAAAGCCGACCCCCTTCCCTCTTGACTGTGGCCGGCAGTCAAGCCGCTGTGACTGTACCCGCTGTGACTGTAGCCAGTGTTACTTTGACAGCTGTGAGTGTAACCACTGTGACTGTAATTGCTGTGACTGTAACCGCTGGTGCTGTAGGCGCTGACATCACTTGGGAAATAGCCGCTGTTGTTTTCGCACTGACTGTGGCAGCGGCAGCGGCGGGTGTGGCTGTAGCGGGGGCAGGTGTGGTGGTGCTGGTGATGCTGGGTGTGACTGGTGAAGGCGTAGCAGTGGCGCTGGTGATGTTGGTGCTGGTGGCAGGAGCAGGGTGCTGCGGACGAGTTGTTTGCCCCAGGAGCATCACAAGGGGCACCCCCAGCAGCAGCCATGCATGCCGGGCAGTGGTGTGCGTGTTCCCCTGCCTCGTCTGTGAATCTGGAGGGAGGGGAGAGGGAAAGGGAGAGGGAGAGGAGAGGGAGAGGGAGAGGGAGAGGGAGAGGGAGAGGAAAAGAGTGGTTATCAAGCACCAGCAGCACCAGCACCAGGAACACCAGCAGCAGCCGTGTATGCTGGGCAGTGGTGTGGATGTGCGTGCTCCTCTGCCTCGTCTGTGAAGCTGGAGGGAGAGGAGGGGAGGGGAGGGGAGGGGAGGGGCGGGAGAGGAAATGAGAATGAGGAAAACAAGCGAAAGTGATTAAGAATGTGACCAAGTTACAAAGCTTACAGTGGAAGCTTCTGGAAGTTCTAGCGGACTCCCAGCGGTGTAGTTGGAAGGCACATGGTAATGCACGAAGAAGGTGAGGTTGTGGCAAATGTGGTCGATAAGATTCAGAGTGATTATATAAAGGAGGCGTGCTAACAGTGAGGGTTCCAAAGGCCGGGCGGCGGTTTGGATGGAGGGCACGTGGTCATGCACGAAGAAGGTGAGAGAGGCGACGAGGTGCTCTTATTGGAAGTGACAGTAACGAAGGTGCTAAGGATGAGCTTACAGTGAGGGATCCAGCAGGGGCCTCGCAGCAGTGCGGATGGAAGGCACGTGGTCATGCACGAAAAAGGTGAGGGAGGCAACGTGCTTTTGATACATGTGGTTGATATTACTCAGAGTGATTATATCAAGGATGCGCGTGCTTACAGTGAGGGCTCCAGGGGCCTTGCAGCAGTGCGGATGGACGGCACGTGGTCATGCACGAAAAAGGTGAGGGAGGCGACGAGGAGGAATGTGGAGAGCTGCAGCATTAGCAGCCAGTAGGGCTGTAGGCCTGGTGAGGGGGAGAGAATAAGAGAGAAGAGGGTGAGGGAGAGTAGGGTCAGGAGAGGAGCGGGGAGAAAGGCGGAACAAGGGCAGGTGAGTGATGACAGCAGCATTAGCAGCCAGTAGGGCTGTAGGCCTGGTGAAGGGAGAAGAGGGGGAAGGGGAGAAGGGGGTATATGGGAGGGGGAACGGGATTATGCGAAACACACACCCTGTCTCTGTATCGGTGATTGCAGAGAGAGGAGGGAAGAGAATGGTGGCAGAGAGAGGAGGGAAGAGAATGGTGGCAGAGAGAGGAGGGAAGAGAATGGTGGCAGAGAGAGGAGGGAAGAGAATGGTGGCAGAGAGAGGAGGGAAGAGAATGGTGGCAGAGAGAGGAGGGAAGAGAATGGTGGCAGAGAGAGGAGGGAAGAGAATGGTGGCAGAGAGAGGAGGGAAGAGAATGGTGGCAGAGAGAGGAGGGAAGAGAATGGTGGCAGAGAGAGGAGGGAAGAGAATGGTGGCAGCGAGAGGAGGGAAGAGAATGGTGGCAGAGAGAGGAGGGAAGAGAATGGTGGCAGAGAGAGGAGGGAAGAGAATGGTGGCAGCGAGAGGAGGGAAGAGAATGGTGGCAGAGAGAGGAGGGAAGAGAATGGTGGCAGAGAGAGGAGGGAAGAGAATGGTGGCAGAGAGAGGAGGGAAGAGAATGGTGGCAGAGAGAGGAGGGAAGAGAATGGTGGCAGAGAGAGGAGGGAAGAGAATGGTGGCAGAGAGAGGAGGGAAGAGAATGGTGGCAGAGAGAGGAGGGAAGAGAATGGTGGGAGAGAGAGGAGGGAAGAGAATGGTGGCAGAGAGAGGAGGGAAGAGAATGGTGGCAGAGAGAGGAGGGAAGAGAATGGTGGCAGAGAGAGGAGGGAAGAGAATGGTGGCAGAGAGAGGAGGGAAGAGAATGGTGGGAGAGAGAGGAGGGAAGAGAATGGTGGCAGAGAGAGGAGGGAAGAGAATGGTGGCAGAGAGAGGAGGGAAGAGAATGGTGGCAGAGAGAGGAGGGAAGAGAATGGTGGCAGAGAGAGGAGGGAAGAGAATGGTGGCAGAGAGAGGAGGGAAGAGAATGGTGGCAGAGAGAGGAGGGAAGAGAATGGTGGCAGAAAGAGGAGGGAAGAGAATGGTGGCAGAGAGAGGAGGGAAGAGAATGGTGGCAGAGAGAGGAGGGAAGAGAATGGTGGCAGCGAGAGGAGGGAAGAGAATGGTGGCAGAGAGAGGAGGGAAGAGAATGGTGGCAGCGAGAGGAGGGAAGAGAATGGTGGCAGCGAGAGGAGGGAAGAGAATGGTGGCAGAGAGAGGAGGGAAGAGAATGCTGGCAGAGAGAGGAGGGAAGAGAATGCTGGCAGCGAGAGGAGGGAAGAGAATGCTGGCAGCGGTGTCGTTGCAGACGCCCAGAGGCACGGCATGGGCGAGCGTGTGACCATCATGAGATCCTGCTGTGAGTGAAGAGAAAGAGGATCAGGGGTCATTGCAAAGGAAGACGGGTGGAGGGGTAGTCACCTGCGAAGAGAATGTTTGTGGCCGTGTCGTTGCATATGCCTAGAGGGACGAAGGCGATGGCCTTGGTGACGGCGTGGGCGAGTGGGCTAGGTAGCAGCATGAGATGGTGTGAGTGGGGAGAGAGGAAGAGGGGTAGGGAAGCCACCTGGGGAGAGAATGCTTGCTGGCAGCCGTGTCGTTTCAGACTCCCAGAGGGACGATCAGTGTGACTTACCTGGGAAGAGAATGCTCGCAGCAGTGTCGTTGCAGATTCCCAGAGGCGCAAAGGCACGAAGGGCGAGGGTTTGAGTGAGCGTGGTGAGATGACTGGTGAGTGGAGTGAGAACCTGGGGTAGATACCTGGGAAGAGAATGCTCGCAGCAGTGTCGTTGCAGACGCCCAAAGGGACAAAGGCGATTGCCTTGGTGACGGCATGGGCGAGGGTTTGCGCGTCGGCGTGAATGAAGAGGTTGGTTGATCCCACCCGCACTGCCAGCGGCCACTTCCAACTGGAATGTGGGGAGAGGAAAGAGAGGTGGGCAAAGGGAGGGAGAGGAATGTAAAGAGACAGTGAGGGAAGGAATAGCACCAGAGGCGAGGGTTTGCGCGTCGGCGTGAATGAAGAGGTTGGTTGATCCGACCCGCACTGCTAGCGGCCACTTCCAACTGGAATGTGGGGAGAAAAAAGAGGGAGAGGAGGGCAGCGGGAGAGAGGAACAGCGAGCGCGAACGAATAGCAGCAGTTTGACCGTTGACGTGGAGATGAAGAGGTTGGTGGATCCCACACGCACCGCCAGCGGCCACTTGCAAGTGGAATGTGGGGAGGGAAAGGGCGATGAAGGAGACGGGAGCAGAGGGCGCGGTTAGGGAGGGAAGAGAAGGGAAGGGCATTGGCGGGAATGAAGAGGTTGGTGGATCCCACACGCTCCGCCAGCGGCCACTTCCAACTGGTAGGGGGAGGGGGGCCAGAGGAGGGGAGAAGGAGGGAGGGGAGGGGAGAAGGAGGGAGGGGGGGCCAGAGGAGGGGAGAAGGAGGGAGGGGGGGCCAGAGGAGGGGAGAAGGAGGGAGAGGGGCCAGAGGAGGGGAGAAGGAGGGAGGGGGGGGCCAGAGGAGGGGAGAAGGAGGGAGGGGGGCCAGAGGAGGGGAGAAGGAGGGAGGGGGGGCCAGAGGAGGGGAGGAGGGAGGGGGGGCCAGAGGAGGGGAGAAGGAGGGAGAGGGGCCAGAGGAGGGGAGAAGGAGGGAGGGGGGCCAGAGGAGGGGAGGAGGGAGGGGGGCCAGAGGAGGGGAGAAGGAGGGAGGGGGCCAGAGGAGGGGAGAAGGAGGGAGGGGGGCCAGAGGAGGGGAGAAGGAGGGAGGGGGGCCAGAGGAGGGGAGGAGGGAGGGGGGCCAGAGGAGGGGAGAAGGAGGGAGAGGGGCCAGAGGAGGGGAGAAGGAGGGAGGGGGGCCAGAGGAGGGGAGAAGGAGGGAGGGGGGCCAGAAGAGGGGAGAAGGAGGGAGGGGGGCCAGAGGAGGGGACAAGGAGGGAGGGGGGCCAGAGGAGGGGAGGAGGGAGGGGGGCCAGAGGAGGGAGGAGGGAGGGGGCCAGAGGAGGGGAGAAGGAGGGAGGGGGGCCAGAGGAGGGAGAAGGAGAGAGGAGGGAGGGGGGCCAGAGGAGGGGAGAAGGAGGGAGGGGGGCCAGAGGAGGGGA